AGAGAGAAGAAAGAAGGGAGGGAAGGAAGGAAGGAAGGAAGGAAGGAAGGAAGGAAGGAAGGAAGGAAGGAAGGAAGGAAGGAAGGAAGGAAGGCAAGCTCCTATTTAAAGTTGGCTGTTTGGAGACTAAGTCACATTTGTTTACTTTTTATGAAAACCAATCCTTGAGACTGATCCAAGCTGAGTACTCCAGTCTAAGTTTACACCCACCGAGGCCAGCACCACCCTGTGTAACTGTGTGGATATAAAGATCCAAATGCGTGTGAGGCTTCTCCCGACTCACCCTCTGTCTACTAGATAGCTGTTTATCCAACATGGGGCCTCTTAGCTGACGAATAATAGCATACACTGCGCCCCTGGCTACCATATTCCTTCAGTAGAAGACCCTCCAGTACATGCTAAGATAATATAGTGATCAAGGCTAATTAATCATCTCATGACTTACACGTTCCCTTAGCTCCAAATGGAAAGTGATCTCAGAAACTAAATAAGATGGCATATCTTTTACCATCTGAATTTCCAAACCACTTGTGATTATAGAAAAATCTTAATAATGCAGAGTAGTTGCGGGGGAGAAAGCAGAGAGTTGATCTAAGTTAGAAAACAGCTGAGACATAAAATTTGGTTACAAATATTTAACTTTACAAGTCGCGAAGAGTGGAAGGATAATGTAGTACTTTCAGGAATGTGGACTCCAGAGCCAGGTGGCAGGAGTAGAAAATCTGGGGTTTGCCTCTTGTTTACCCCTTTCCAGTGCAGTGATCTTTTAAGTGAGGCATTTAAACCTTCTGGGTCTCAGTTTCTCTGTTTGTACAGTGGGGTTTCAGTTTGCCTGTTATATGTGCAGCTTAGGTGAGTTATCATTTGTAAAGTGTATGCCAGAACTTTGATTGCTGGGTTAAAAACGAAAACATTCATCACTGGAAGCTGCTGTTTACGCGCCACAGATCTTGGAATAACAACGTTGTTGTTGGGGTTGTTAAAGTACACTGGGTGATTATTTTCTTAGCATTCCTTTACATTCTATAGCCAACCCCAAGAGGTATGTTTTTCAGATGAGAAAAATGAGACAAAAATTCAATTTGCTTAAACGCCTAGTTCCCTAAAAGGCACAGCAATGATTTGTGCACTGGTAAACAGAAAATAGAAACTGCATCTTCAATAAACCTGGAGGCTTGTGTCATTAATGTCTACCTTTTGCCCCTCCCCCCGCAACCATGCCTGTATGAGATTTTAGTTTTTAAGAACTCATGTAGTAGTGTATATTCCTAATGCATTTTCTCATGGAACAGCTATCCATCAAACTCTGTGGTCTGTTCAAAAGTGTTCATATGTCATACACCCTCAGGTTTAGCTAGGACTTGAGTCAACAGCACATTATTAAGGTGACTATTTCTTCTATTGCCGAAGCAAACATTTCAGTTGTCTCCATGATTGGTGGCTCTGGTCTCAGGATTTGCACACAGACCTGAGATCATGTGCCTTTTTGGTTACACATTTCATAATGATATTCATTATTCTCCTTCTAATACTTGACCCCTCCCCTGTCGCCATAGGTGCCTTTATTATCTGCTGGACACCGGGACTGGTCTTGTTACTGCTGGATGTGTGTTGTCCACAGTGCAACGTCCTGGCCTATGAGAAGTTCTTCCTCCTCCTCGCTGAGTTCAACTCCGCCATGAACCCCATCATCTACTCCTACCGTGACAAAGAGATGAGCGCCACCTTCAGGCAGATCCTGTGCTGCCAGCGCAGTGAGAACGCCAATGGCCCCACGGAAGGCTCCGACCGCTCAGCCTCCTCCCTCAACCACACCATTCTGGCTGGAGCTCACAGCAATGACCACTCTGTGGTTTAGAAGGAAGCCAGCCAGCCTCTGTGAAGCTGTGAACCCCCACCCCTATTGCCAGGGCAAGGTGGGGAGCCAGAGGAGAGGAAGCTACTCCTGTACTTAAACACTAACCAATGGCAGTATTTGTCCCTAGACCCAAGAGACTTGACATAGCCTGGGGATGAACCTATGTGGCGCCCCCACCCCTCCTCCTTCTTTGGAAAATAGAAAGTGTATGTCTTGCAGTGGAATTCAGAAACAGACTCTGGGGTGACCGTGTAGCCTTCACCAGCTAGACTTAAAAGATTTTGTGTGGTTTGGCCTAAGCCAGAAGAGAAATCTGCCAAATTGAGCACACGACTTCATACAGGCTTCCCCTTTAAAATACAAAACAAGAAACTCTGGAGGATACATTTCACTTAATAAGTATGTTTATTCCTGTCAGCGTGTTTCTGGTTGAAAAGACTGTTAAATTGACATAGGAGAATTTTTTTTCCACTATGGAGGAAAACTGTAAATTAGAATGTTTTTTGTGTTTGTTTAGAAAGCAAGCATGTGGCATGTGTATACAGTATGTTTTTCTTTAAAGATGAAAGGATAATATTTTAACTCTTCTAGGGGATAGAAGAATCTAGTAAAAGTCAGTATTCATTTGGGCTGTGGAAGAAACAATATCCTCACCACTTGACCTTTTAAGGTATTGGAACAGGCATGAAAGGCGGGGAGTGCGATCTTATCACCCAAAGAGTGTATACTCTAAAAACCTGGGAGAAGATGAAGTGTGGTGGTACTGTCACCACGTAGTTAAGACACCCAAGTGCATTCTTATTGCCAGGACATTAGCAGATGTTTTTTTAAAGCCTGTGGTTTTCCAAGTTATAAAATAATACATACTTAATATAGAAAACTTGAAAATTGCAGAACTGTATGAGAAAGAATAAGAAAAGAAAGATTACTGATATAACAACCCAGAGGTAGCCATCTTTACCAGCTCGTGCATGTATGCCTACAGACATATATTATATACTTTTTTACATAATTGGAATGATATTGTAAATTTTTTTGTAACTTTTTCTTTCAGAATTGCTAGGTTTTCCTATGGCATTATTATTATGTTTTTTTTTTTTTACAAAAACAGTGTTAGCGGCCATATAATATTCCATTTAATGGATACAGCTCAGTTTATTTAACCATTCCTGTATTGTTGACTAGATTTTTTTAAAAATTTTCATTATTATAATATTGGAAGAATCTTGTGTACATAAGACTTTGCCAGTATCATTGATTATTTACTTAGGACCTATTCCCATGAAGGACCTACTTTTTAAAATGTGAAATGTCCTCATGTGTTTTCACTTTATAAAAAGGGACATTCTACTTTCAAACTGCAGGAGTGGCAGTGTAAATGTCCCTAAAGTTACCTTTTTACAGAAGAAACACAGTGGTTACTCAAGTTGAGAATGACTTCTTAACAAGATGTTTCCCAATAACCAAGATGACCTAATGTAGCTAGTGATTTCCCTCTCGTGTTTTGAGGGAATGGTGATCCCATTCTTGGCAGACACGGTTGTCACGTCGAATTGAAGAAAACACAAAGAAATCACAGAAGTGAGTCCAGCATTGCTCTACTAAGTAGCCTGGGTGGGGTCTGTTAGCAACTGGCTGCTGTGTGTGTGTCTCCAGCAATCGCCCAATAGATGATCGTCCTCAGAGATGCCTGGTACATTGTCCAGGTGACTGGTGGCCCTATTGATGTGCTAAAAGGAGAAACGAGGAAGAAATACAGCCCTGAAGCAGGTGTGGGAAGGTCAGGAGGATGTTTGAGAGAAAGAAGTCCTGAAGAGAGTGGCATTCTAGGGAAGGGGAAGGTGAAGTGTGGCCCTTGTCTGCACAGAGGGAAGGCCCATGAAATGTGTCTGGTGAACAAAAAAAAGCAGGTGGAGAGCCAGTTAGCAGGAGAAAGATTTCGCTCAGAGTTTACACAAAATGCAGAAGTTTTATTCTGGAAATGAGTGAAATGAACTTGGACGTTTATTAACGCCATTTTTATGGGGGCGATAAGGATTATTTGAATTGAAATGCATACTAATTGGACCCTAATAAATCATTCTCAATCAGTGTTTGCCAATGTGTGGTTCTCGTCAGTGCTGTTTCTGTTGTTCGGAAAACTTCTGGCTTGTCCTATGGTGTCTTCCCTCTCCAATCTTCTTTAACTTAACAGTCTGAGGTGAAGCAGCAACTATTCCTCCATCTGAGAGACGGGTTCCTGTCCCATGAGATCCATGAAGGATGTGCTACTCCAACAGGGTGGCTGCTAGAGCGAGGTATTTCCAAGAGATTTTTTATTATTATTTATTTATTTTAAGTAAAATAAACACAATATAGTAGGATAAAACAAAAACTAAAAGTATCAGAATTGGACAAAACAAATAAACACAAGGAAAAGATCCCAAGAGAAGGCACAAGAAACAGAGACCCACTTGTTCGCACACTCAGGAATCCCATACAAATACTAAACCGGGAGCTACCATAACGTATGTGTAAAGGTCCTGGTGCAGACTCTTGCAGGTCCTGTGCAGGCTGCTCCAGCCTCTGTGAGTTCATATGAGCTTTGATCATGTTGATTTAGAGGGCCTTGTCTTCTCCATTACTTCTGGCTCTCACACTCTTTCTGCCTCCTCTTCTGCAGGGTTCCCTGATCCCTGAGGTGAGGGATTTGATGGAGACCTCCTGTTTGGGGCTGAGTGCTCCAAGGTCTCTCACTCTCACCTTCTCCATGTTCAGTGAGTTGGGTAGGTATTGGCTTTAGCAATGGGGCCTTGGTGTCAGTTTTTGGAGAGCAACCTATAGACTTGGCAATATCCTGGGTTGTTTGGGAATTGCTATGGGACCCCTTAGTCCAACAACTCAATTAGATGTAGCTTAATTCCAAAATTGATAGCTTCATTGGTGACAAGATATAGTCGTTGTTTGGTGATTTCATTTAGGTTGCTTTCATCTATGTATATATTTTAGTAAGCTTCTACCATATTAGGTTTCCATACCACCCCTCAAATGGCCCTTAATTTTAGCTGTCTTTCCCCATATTCCCTCCCTCATTTTCCCAGTCTCCCCTCACCATTTGATCTTCCCATTTCACTCCCCATACATCCATAACTGTACTCTATTTCCCTTTCCTAATGACATCTATCTGTGCCTGCCCACCCCCCATTACTAACTCTATACCAAACCTCTGTGGTTCTATGGATTATAGCTTGGTTATTATTGACTTAAGAGCTAATCCACTGGGTTTGGGATATGTCACTCAGGATTTTTTTTTTCTAGTCCCATCCATTTACCTTTGGATTTTATTTTTTAATGGCTGAAAAAATGTACCACTGTGTAAATGTACCGCATTTTCTTTATCTATTCTTCTATGGAGGGACATCTACATTCTTTCCAATTTTTAGCTAGTATGAATAGAGCAGCAATGAACATGGTTGAGCATGTGTCTCTGTGGTAGGATGAAGTGACCTTTGGGTATCTGCCCAAGAGTGGTAGAGCTGGATCTTGAGGTAGATGGATTCCCATCTTCCTGAAGAACTGTCACACTGGTTTCCATACTGCAGTGGCCATACAAGTTTGCACTCCTGCCATCGATGGATGAGTGTTCCCCTTACTACACATCCATGAACCATCACTTGTTTTATTGAACTTAGCCATTCTGATGGGTGTAAGATGAAATCTCAGAGTAGTTTTTATTTGTATTTCTCTGACAACTAAGGATGATGTTGAACATTTCTTTGAGTGTTCCACAGTCATCTGAGTTTCCTCCTTTGAGAATTCTGTTTAGGTATGTACCCCAATTTTCAGTTGGGTTATTTGTTTTCTTGATATCTAATTATTTGAATTCTTTATATATTTTGGATATTAGCCCTATATCAGATATGTAGTTTGTAAAAATCTTTCCCCACTCTGTAGGTTGCCAGAGGTCTGAACGGCAGTGTCGCTTGCTGTGCAGAAGCTTCTCAGTTTCATGAGGTCCCATTTATTAATTATTGATCATAGTTCCTGTGCTAATGGTGTTCTGTTCAGAAAGTCTTCTGTGCCAATGAATTCAAGGCTATTCCCATACTTTCTCTTCTGTCAGGCTCAGTGTTTCTAGTTTTCTGTTGGGGTCTTTGATCCAATTGGAATTAAATTTTGTGCAGTGTAATAAGTATGGATCTAGTTGTATTCTTCTACATGCAGGCATCCAGTGTGACCAGTACCATTTGTTGAAGTGCCTTTTTTTCAGTGTGTATTTCTGGCTTTTTTTTTTCAATCAAAGCTCAGGTGTACATAGGTGTGTGGATTTATGTCTGGGTCTTCAATTTGATTTCATTGATCAACATCTCTGTTTCTGTTCCCATACTGTCCCGTTTTTATTACTATAGCTTTGATGTACAACTTGAAATCAGGGATGGTGATACCTCCAGCAGTTCTTTTATTATTCAAGACTCTTCTGGTGATCCTGGGTTTGTTATGTTTTCACATGAAGCTGAAAACTCTCCTTTCAAAATCTGTGAAGAATTATGTTGGATTATTGATAGATATTGCACTGAATCTGTAGATAGCTTTTGGTGGGGTGGCCATTTTTACTTTATTAATCTTACTGATCCATGAGCATGGGAGATCTCTCCATCTTCTGAAATCTTTTTCAGTTCTTTCCTTCCTTCCTTCCTTCCTTCCTTCCTTCCTTCCTTCCTTCCTTCCTTCCTTCTTTCTTTCTTTCTTTCTTGTCTTTCTTTTGATGTCTTAAAGTTTTTATCACATATATAGCTCTTTACTTGCTTGGTAGAAGTACCCCAAGATATTTGATATTATTTGAGGCTATTGTGAAAGATTTTATTTCCAAGATTTCTTTCTCAGTCCATTTGTCATTTGTATATAGGAGGGCTACTGATTTTTGTGAGTTAATTTTGTATTCAGCTACTTTGCTAAAATTATTTATCAGCTGTAGGAGTTTCCTGGGGGAACTCTTTGGGTCCCTTATGCATACTATCATATCATCTACAAATAAAGATACTTTGACTTCTTCCTTTCCAATTTGTATTCCTTGATCTCTTTTAGTTGTATGCTTGATCTAGCTAAGATATCAAGGACAATATTGAATAGATATGAAAAGAGTGGACAACCTTGTCTTGTTCCTGATTTTAGTGGAATTGCTTTGAGTTTCTCTCCATTTAAGTTGATGTTGGCTATGGCCTTTCAGTAAACTACCTTTATTATGTTGAGGTATATTCCTTGTGTCCCTAATCTCTTCATTTATCATGAAGGGGTGTTGGATTTTGTTAAAGGCCTTTTAAGCATCTAATAAAATAATCATGTGGTTTTTGACTTTCAGTTTTTTTATATGGTGGATTACATTTATTGATGGGTGTGTTCAACCACCCCTACATCTCTGGGATGTAGCCTGCTTGATCATGGCAGATAATCTTTTCCTTATGTGTTCTTGGGTTCTGTTTGCAAGTACTTTATTGAGAATTTTCACATCTATGTTCACAAGGGAAATTGGTCTGTAATTCTCTCTCTTTGTTGGGTCTTTAGGTGGTTTGGGTGTCAGGGTAACTGGCCTCATAAAACGAATTGGACAATGTTCCTTCTGTTTTCATTTTGTGGAATGATTTGAAGAGTATTGGCATCAACTCTTCTTAAAAAGTCTTGTATAGTTCTGTGCTAAAACCATGTAGCCCTGGGCTTTTGATAGTTGGGAGACTTTTAATTATTGCTTTTATTTCATTAGGACTTATAGGCTTGTTTAAGCTGCTTATCTGATTTTGATATAACTTTGTAAGTGGTATATATCAAGAAAATTACCCATTTCTTTTAGATCTTCTAATTTGATGGAGTGTAGGTTTTAAAGTATATCTTTAGGATTTTCTTGATTTCTTTGGTGTCTGTTGTTATGTCTCCCTTTCATTTCTAATTTTACTCATTTAGATATTCTCTCTCTGCCTATTAGTTAATTTGGATAAGTGTTTGTCAATCTTATTGCTTTTTCTTAAAGAACCAGCTTGTTTTATTGATTCTTTGTATCATTGTGCTGTTGTTTGCTTGTTTCTATTTTATTATTTTCAGCCCCAAGTTTGATTATTTCTTGCCATCTACTCTTTCTGGGTGTGATTTCTTCTTTTTGTCCTAGAGCTTTCATGTGTGCTGTTAAATTACTGGTATGAGATGTCTCCAGCTTTTTTATGTAGGTGCTTAGTGCTGTGAACCTGCCTCTTAGAACCTCCTTCCTTGTGTCCCATATGTTTGGGTATGGTGTGTATTCATTTTCATTCAATTCTAGAAAGTCTTTCACTTCTTTCTTGATCTATTTTTCATTTAGTAGTGAGTGGTTCAGTTTCCATGAGTTTGCAAACTTTCTGATGTTGGTATACAGCTTTAATCTGTGGTGGTCAGATAGGATGTAGGTTGTTCTTTCAACTTTCTTGTATCTTTTAGAGTTGCTTTGTGTCTGAGTATATGTTCAGTTTTGGAGAAAGTTCCATGAGGTACAGGGAACAAGGTATATTGTTTTGTGTTTGGGTGAAATAGTCTGTAGATATATTTGCTCCATTTTTTTTAACATTAGTTAGCTCCAGCATTTCTCTGTTAGCTTTTGTCTGGATGACCAGTCTAGAAGCGTCCCACTGTCAGAGTGTGCAGGTCAATATGTGATTTAAACTGTAGTAGTGTCTCCTTTATGAGCTTGGGAGCCATGTGTTTGGTGCATAGATGTTAAGAACTGCAGTGTCCTCTCAGTGGAGTTTTCCTTTGATGAGTATGTAGTGTCCTTCCCTATCTCTTCTGATTAGTTTTGGCTTGAAGCCTATTTTGTCAGATATTAAAGTGGCTACACCAGCTTGCTTCATAGGTCTATTTGTTTGGAATATTCTTTTCCATCCTTTTACTCTGGGGTGATATTCATCCTTAATTTGAAGATATGGATCCTTGGATCCTTGACATAGCAGAAGGATGTATCCTGTTTTCAAATCCATTCTGTTAGTTTGAATATTTTTATTGGGGAAATTGAGACCATTGATGTTGAGGTGGTGGTGGTGGTGTGTGTTTCCCTTCTTTTGATTTGCTAGTGTCCTGAGTAGACTTTCTTTCCTAGTTCTC